CTTAAAGATTGTCAAATGGCCAATTAGATAAGACTCTCCATTTTTTCAAGCTGTGTTAAGGTATTGTCTAAATAAAATGTTGGTCATCATAACATACTGGTAGATCTGTTGAGAGGATTTAACTAAACCTAAAATCATAAGCTACTTAGACTAGCAGATATGGAATAGGCTGAAATACAAGGCAGGCAACTTAAGGAAGCTGTAGAATCTTCATTACTTATGGTGCTGTTTTTAAAAAATGAGTTGTAGTTCAGACAGTTCTTTTCATATTTAAAGTGGAAATCTTCAAGTTCAATTAATTTTAATGAAGTCTCTCTGCTGATACATATGTTTTGTACACACACACGCACACACACACACACACACACACACATATTCCAACTGTACTTATCTACATCTGGAAGCAGTATTGGACAAACCACATGCTTAGTTTTCAGCTTCAAAACATTTTTTTGAAAGGAATTTTTTGTAAACATGGAGACTGTGAATAGTTACCAGAAAAGCACACATTTCAATATATTATAATGTCTGAGTTATTACAGAGTTGGATACTTGAAACTCAATTCTAGAGTAATTGGGAACTTAGAAAACAGAGAAAATTAACAGCAAGAATGCAACTATGTTAGAAGGGCTAAATATACTACTATTGCACTCAGTGAAAAACTTCCTTCCTCACTCCCTCCCAACCTCCCTTCCTTTTTTTGTCTTCTTCCTTTCCCTTCCCTTTAAAAATTTTAGCAGCCACCTAGCTAGCATGTATTTCAAAAGATGAGGTTGATTGAGTCTTTGAATAATCAGAAGAATGAAAAAGTTTTATTGACATGCAGAAGACAATTTAAGTCCAGTTTCTCTCCAGGTGTGGTGGTACGTACTTGTCATTGAAGCACTGGGAAGGTTGAGGCAAGAGTGCCATGAGTTTGAGGACATCCTAGAATACATAGTGAGACACTGACTCAAAAAACAACAAAACCCCTTTAGTGCCTCATGTTGAGAAGCATGGAGAAGGAAAGGGAAGAGAGGAAGAAAGGAGAAAAATATGCCTCAAGAAATACAGTACCAACAAAAGGGACAGATGCCTATAAATAGGAGCTGAGAATGAATGGCAAGAAATAGATGATACAGAACTAAGATGATGTGCATGAGGCACACCAGAGTCCATAAATTCACTAATTTATTGATCCAAGTTGTGTTTATTGAACTAATGTTATGTGTATGACACTAGGAAACTTCAAAGGTGAATGAATACTATCCTTGTCCTCCAGGTGCATTTTGGTGACTTGTGAGAAAGTGTGGGCATATGTTTGTAATGTATTTATGATGAAGATCCATATAAATAATACATTAGGACCACAAAAGAAGAGTTTGTCACTTTTCCTTGGAAAGGGAGGGGGAAAGTTTACAAAAGGTTCCCTATAAGAAGCAACACTTGAACTTAACCTTAAAGGTTGGACGCTTCTTTACAGTTCAATGGAAACATTTAAAATAAGAATAAATAACTTTACTAGCCCCAGGAAGTAGTGATCAAAATGCTGCCTACACCCTTAAATTTTTGTGTTCAATGTAAACTGTGTGTGCCTTAGAACTTCACTCAGAGTCTCTGTCTACTCTGTGAACTTTCTTTGATCGCTTGAGCTTTGAAGCATCCTTATATGACTATTAAACCTTGGGCTGTGTCTAGTCAGTGAACTTTCCTTAGATTATACTACTTTTCATTGCACAGTTTCTTTCACTACTGATTATAAATTCCTCAGTGTTCTTGAAACACTTCTCCAGTATATTCTGGCATAAAGCACTGAATTCATAATTTCATAATTATGAAATTAGTGAATAAATATGGCAAAGTCCTAGTCACCCCAAGAATTTTCCAAAAAATGCAATACTCATACCAAGGTCCTTCCTTTTTTTCACAGTAAAAATGATAGCAAAGTTTATTACAAAAGGTATTTGTCATGGCAGGATAAAAGTAGGGAGAAATGGGGGGAAAAGGGAGAAACATTTCCTGTTATCCATGCAGGAGGTAGGAGTAAAGATTCTAAGCCTTCCTTAGTATGGAATTTTTTAATTGTATCTAGGACACAGTCCAACCTTTTTCCTAGGACTATTTTGTCTCACTATTGAAAAACAGCAAATTTACCTGCTTGGTAAAGAAGAGTATAGGAACTGGTCTTGAATTAGTTATGCTTTCAGAAATACATTGCTTGTGGTTGGGAAATAACTGTTGGGAGAATTGCGATACAACACTAGCCTTCAGTTGCTACTTAGGATGCATCATCCAGGGACAGAATCATTTACTGTGTTATGGAATTTATCTGAGAAATGTGCTTCAGCACATCCCATTTTCGAAGGAAGATAGATGGTTCAAGTGTCCAACCTCCTTCCTGCCCTTGGATCTGTAATGTGGTTTAGATTTTGGGTTCTTTAGAACTGTGATTCCTCCAGTTGACTGTACATTTGGACCACTAGTCCTCACCATGCACCTACTAAATCAGAATTTCTGAGCCCAGGGCCAGGGACTATATATTTGTATAAGGTTCTCTAAGAAATTTGATTGATAAGCCAGGCTGGTGAACCACTGGTGAATAATATGTCATTTGTATTATTTGAATATATGACATTAACTATAAATTCAAAGTTGTAAGACGGGCTTTTTCCTGATTAAACTCATCCATCAATCAGTCAACATTGATGGACGGGAGAATATCCAAAAACCTGAGGTTTAAATTTGTTTGCTTTTTGGGGTTCATACTTCACTTAATGTTGTAGAGTTCTGTAGCTCAATCTCTTGTAAGTTCACCTTTTCTATTCCATAAACCTTTTGTAGGTGGGGAGATATGTCTTTTCTGTAATTTAGAATGTAGGTCAGAGTGTGAGAATTACTCACTCTGTGGAATGCATTATAGCATATAAATTCAAGATATTATTATCATTGCCAGTATCCCTAACTACTAGTTACTGAAACACTACATCCACTTAAGCCAAACTTTTTAATTGAGATTACAAGAAATTTATAATATTATATGAACAGCCATCTTTTTGTTTCTTAAAAAATTTGCTTTTTAATGTTTACTTGGTCAAGTGTACCAAGTACAAAATTGAAACACACAAATGAATAGGTCACACTTGAGAAGAGTGATCTTCTCTGGGTCACTCTCCAGTTCTTGGGGAAAGATTGAGGGCAAAGAACAGGAAGTCCAAGCACAGTAAGCCCACCTTATTCACAGATTTGTTACACAGAGCTTCGATCAGTGTGGTAAAATATTAGATAAATAAATCAAAAGAAATTTCAAAAATACAAATTTTAAATTCCTGCTCCTATATTAAACAGCTCAGTTGATGTGGAGAAGCTCTCAGTCAGTCCTGTGTTACAGTCAGTTGTGTTTAAATCATTGCATGATCTGCTGAGTGTTTCTGCCCTTAATTTTGTGAAACTCTGCCTTCCAAAAAAGCAAATAGTGCCCCCAAAGCAAGATAAAAGTGAATTGCTTAATTGAAGTGATCAAGTGAAAATTTTAGATCTGTCGAAAGGCAGCATGTTTTAGTAGAAGTCAGGAGGTATTATAGGAAAAATGATCCAGGCATCCTCAGCACAGCACTGAACCCTGTATCCTGAGCACTTGCGGTTTTCCTCAGTGGTAGGCTCTGTGGAGTCATGTACCCACCAATACCAAGGGTCTACTGTACGTAAATATGAAACAATTTTAATTTAATGACACGAGATTTACAAGTCTTATAAAATAAAGTGCTTTTACAGATTAATTTTGCTTAAATGCATTTAAAATTCTGTTAATAGACAAAAGAAGTAAGGAAAATCACATTATCTGGAAAGTTTTATCTTAAACAAAAACTGCTCTAGATTGCAGTTTAGAGATTTAAATCACAGGTAGGAGTTTCCCAACTAAGAGGAAAGAGAAGAGATGACTCTCTCCGTGGTAACACTTGATAATGCCTGATAACGCCTACATAGTAATCCAACAGTTCATCTTTCCAGAAAATGCCCTGAGAATACAAATAATCCTCACATCCAAGTAATCAGAAATCACAGCACAGACTGAGATAAATGCCCTAAGATGTAAAGTGGCTGTTAAATCACTACTGGATTCTTAAAACTTTTTAAACATTGTATGTAGACACTGTTATTTTCCAAGATGTTAGCATCCCAGAGACGCTTGAGTGAAGAAGTATTGCTAATCACTGGATATAATTAAGCAGAATTATTATAAAATCTTTCCAAGAACACACCTGACACTGAACTTTATAACTTACAAAGATGCTGAGCTACAGTGTGACCCTTGCACGAGAGAAAAATCCCCACAATCATGGCCAACAGAAATTATTCAAGATATGTTTTATTATGCTAAGAAATAAAAATAAAATTATTCTTGTCAAATTATAGCAGAATGACAATTTGATGTGACAATCTCTCTCTATTTTAAAAATTAGGCATTATCTGAAGGTTTCCTGTTTTATAGATATGAGATTCAATAAATAACATGCTAAGATATGTTTGAGTAGTAGAACTCCACCAGGAGCTGGAAATTTAGGCAACTTATATACAACATCAATGGAATAGTGATGGTTTCATTATATTTTTTTATAAGGGAAACAATTAAAATATGGAAGTACTAAAATTGTGACTGTTGGGAAGTAAAGAAATTCACATGAACTGTTAAGATAATCAGATATATTAGTACATTTTAACATGTAATATTTGATTTCCCTTGTACTTATGTGTATATGAATATTGATCTACATAATTCTTTACAGCTATAAAAGAAGTCAACTAAATAAAATACTTTAATAAGACATAGTTGCTAAATAAATACACTTCTTTGCAGGTTTGTGAAGCTGGCTATTGTTGAGTATTTTAGGAGGAACTAATTTTAAAGCTTGGAATTCTAGTTATTTATTCTGAAGTGATCTTACTCCATATTACTTATTTTCATGCAAGCAAACTTACATTTCTTTGAGCCCTACAATATCAAAATTCCTTCAGTTGATAGAGATCATGATGTGATTAGCTGGAGCAAAGTCCAGGGTATTTGGGTGGAAAGATAGATTTACTGGCTTTTATGCTAAGAAGAGTGGGCTATTTACCTTAATCCTAGTGGATGAGAGCCTAGAAAAAGGCTGTCCTAGCAAAAGGGCAAATATAAGCCTCCAAGCGTGGAAGTCCACTCAGAAGCATTTCCTGTGAACGATAGGAGGACCAGCTTCGTCATATTCCTGCTTACTGATCCACATCTGCTGGAATGTGGATAAGCTGGCCAGGATGGAGCCCCCAATCCAAACAGAATACTTTCGCTCTGGCGGAGCAATGATCTTGATTTTCATGGTGCTAGGTGCCAGGGTGACGATTTCCTTCTGCATCCGGTCAGCAATACCTGGGTACATGGTGCTGCCTCCAGACAGCACAGTGTTGGCATATAGGTCTTTGCGAATATCCACGTCACACTTCATGATGGAGTTGAAGGTTGTCTCATGGATCCCACTGGACTCAATGCCCAGAAAGGAAGGCTGGAAAATGGCTTCAGGGCATCGAAAACGTTCATTCCCAATGGTGATCACCTGCCCATCAGGAAGCTCATAGCTTCTTTCCAGTGATGAAGATGCAGCTGCACTGATCATCTCCTGTTCAAAGTCCAGGGCCACATAGCACAACTTCTCTTTGACATCCCGCACAATCTCCCGCTCAGCTGTGGTGGTGAAGTTATAGCCTCTTTCTGTCAGGATCTTCATGAGGTAGTCAGTCAGGTCTCTGCCTGCCAGATCTAGACGTAGAATGGCATGAGGCAGGGCATAACCTTCATAGATGGGTACAGTGTGAGTGACCCCATCCCCAGAATCCATCACAATACCTGTGGTTCGTCCTGAGGCATAGAGGGACAGCACAGCTTGGATAGCTACATACATGGCAGGTGTGTTGAAGGCTTCAAACATGATCTGAGTCATCTTTTCCCTGTTGATCTTGGGGTTGAGGGGTGCCTCAGTGAGAAGGATGGGATGCTCGTCTGGTGCCACGCGGAGCTCATTGTAGAAAGTGTGGTACCAGATCTTCTCCATATCATCCCAGTTGGTGACAACTCCATGCTCAATAGGATACTTCAGGGTCAAAATGCCCCTCTTGCTCTGGGCCTCATCCCCCACATAGCAGTCCTTCTGACCCATGCCTACCATAACCCCCTGGTGTCGGGGACGCCCTACCATGGAAGGAAACACAGCCCGAGGGGCATCATCACCCCCAAAGCCTGCCTTGCACATCCCTGACCCATTATCCACTACCAAAGCAGACAGCTCGTCTTCAACGATCATATTGGCTGGAATCTTCCAGATGGGTGAGCAGAACTTAAATAGAGTAAATTCTAGACTATGCAAGAGAGAGAATAGGCAGGCGTGAAACACTCTAGAACTACTTTCAGAGAGGAGAGCTTGCACTGTGACCACAGATATTTAAAGGAATACACTGACCCCACCCATGTCCTATCCCACCAGTTCCCAGCATTTCAAAGGTGTTTGAGGTATTAATAATGGTGATGATTGCAGAAATCATTAGTGGACCTTCTTCCATAAAGACAATATAGGCTACCATGTGGCCAAATTGCAGGTTACTATAATTAGGCAACCTACACATGGCTGCCGGCTTGTGGGTCTCCAGATAAGTATAGGATGCAATGGGGGATATAAAGGCAAGATGAAAGAGAGTGAGTGGCAGGGATGGGATGGGGAACACTTCCAGAAGGACCATTTCCTTCTTGGTTGGCCCTCTGGGACCATTTTCTCTACTCCAACTTTAACTTCCCAGTCTTAGTGTATAGTTCTTATGAAAAGTCTGATCCTATACTCTTCACTTTTCCAAGGTTTCCTTTCCCACTGGGTTCCTAATTCCACAGAATGTCATCATGACAGAAGCTGCATTAATGAAAATAATGAGTGCCCAAGGGTGACTAGACAGCTGTAATTATAATTCATTTGTGTCATGCAAAATGTAGATACTTAATAGACTTCAAATCCATCAGAGATAAGTAAAAGCAATAGAGTGATCAATAAAGTTAACCACTGCAGATTTTTGTGATGTAAATTTGTAACAACCAAATTTTATTAAGCACTTACTATGCATAGAAAATTTTCATAGGTTTATTGGGTCAACGTAGACTGCACGAGGCTGAATGCCAACTTTTTTACATGATTTGTTAATTAAAATATGATTATAATTAATTTATTTGCAATAACTTTAGTTACACAACAATGAACAAAAATTAAGAAACTTAAAAATTATATATTTGAACTAATATTTATCTTAAAAATCTCAAAGATTTTTGTCTTTAAGATGCATATACTATTTATAACATGAAATCTCTCTATAGATATTAAAATCTACACAATTAGGATAGTATTACTTTCTCTCCATTTTGAGATATATTACACTTTGACCACTTCATAGGAGCAGTTTGTTTGGATTTTATGTTTAATATAGACAAGCTGATAATATGTATACTATGATAAACCATGGAACATTGAAATGTGGCACAGAGAACCACCTAAGAAAGCACATTTCTTCTGGTCACATATGTGTTGAGTAAATAGGGTATAATCTTTGTCAGCTCTTCTAAAGTAGAGTGATTTTTCATATCCACATCTGAGTTCTCTAAAGTCACCTTTTTTTGGTCTGTTCATTCAATTTTGTGTGTGTGTGTGTGTGTGTGTG